GGCGAGTTTACTGACGAAGGGCCGTATGGCGAAGATATTGTTGCATTGATCAAGTATCTCAGAAAGGTCGTACTGGAAGAAAAGGACATCAGCAAGGCTGTTGGTATGGTGAAATGGATCGACTACGTCATTAATTACGAGGCCGAAAAGGACGAAAACTTTTCGAAAGAGCCATGGGAAACAGCTCTTGCGAAGATCAAGGACGGCGTCGTCAAGGCGGTGAAAGAGAGAGGTTTGGGCCGAGTGTCTTTTGACTAGTCTATGTATGTTTCACGACCTATCACGAATGAACGAGCCATGCCACGCTGCAGTAGGTGCGCCAAATTTGTGTGACACGAGGATGTTCAATTCGGTCAACGAAGATTAGCCAACGCAGAGCACGGTCTGCACAGCTTTGAAGGTGAACTATGCGGTCCAGAGAGATGCACACAGATGCGGTTCACGCTAAGACCATGCAAGATATCCAGTCATGCCCTATGACTATGGATCTATGACTCCAAATCACGTCTGTTACCACGCAGCATCGGGAGCTTGGAGCTTCTTCTTCGAACTATAAAACTGCCTGACTCGACATAGGAATCTTGTTCTTTCACGCTTCTTACAAAACTGTCTCATCATAGCCTACTTGACATTCACATCAACGACCTTCGATCATTGCTGCCGTCAAGCAGTGTGAGATTACCGGACACTACCGCCCACGATGAGGCTTCAGCTCGCGCTCACGATAACAGGGTTGATGGGGTCGGTGTCCACCACTGCCGGTTTCTCTACCCTCTCGACGATCTCTGCAACTACCAGCATCGCGACACCGTTCTCTTCCATTCCGGACCATGTTCCGAGATCAGAATCTCGACGTCGGTCTCTTCAGCTTCTGCTTGAATCTTACTATGGGGATGTGAAATGGATGCTCTACCTTGGTCCCCAAGGCAGGGCCGTTGATCCATGCAAGCCTTCGTCATCAAAGCCCTTGGAAAGCTTCGAGCCTATCCGCCGATGGTGGCCGCCCCACCCCCATCCTCGAGCGGCATCGAATCTCTCTGAAGAGCTGTTCAGACTACCGCAGGTAAGCCTCGCAATACTGGATTGTAGCGCATGCAGCGTCATGCTAATAAGTCATGCCCGCAACCAGTTTGACGATAAATTCCCTGTTACCATCGGCGGTTCAACAAAATGCTTTTACAAGAGCGACGGTGCTCAAAGGACATGGATCGAATGTGACAGTGGCCACTTCAAGGACTGTGGTGGTCTTGATCCGCAGGTTGATGATCCAGAGATAAAATGTAGTGACGTGTGGAAGTTCATCCGTGGCTTCTATTGCGAGTTCAAAGAAACGATCTAGTGTTGAAGTTTGGTTAAGATGGGGTTTGAACAAGATGTACGGTATCTGAGTCGAATCTAATCGCAGCTGAGTAGTATTTGCTTGACGAAGCTCTGTCTAATCACAACGTCTTGGTTTGCATCTGTTACTACGAGCGCATCCTTCACGATCGATCGCGTGTATCGTTTACCCGAATTCAATACCTCATGGGAGCGTGGGAAAACTCGGGTGAGGAAGAGCTTACTGTCCACACAGGTCTATCTTACCTCGATGCGCGCGCTCACTCTTCACAGGTCACCGATTGCTCCTGCCCCGCTTACACTTCCGTGATACACGATTCTTAGCCCTTCGCCAATATAAGCTTAGGCGCTTATCTACTCGGCTCTCACCTTTGACCCGCACTTTCTTTCTGCTTTACAAAACCTGATCAAGCTACTGCCATCCAACCGCCCAACTTACACTCGTCATGTTGTCGTGGCTCCCTTTACTCGTTTGGCTTGTCGCGTATCTGGTCGCGCCAGGTATCGCGGCACCTCTCGAGGTACCTAGCCCGCACGCACTCTCGAACAGTACATCAATGGCAACATCTGATGGAGCAATCGTCAGTACTTCATTTCAGTGCTCGTCAACAAAGCAAGACTGACCTTAGTACAAGCATATCCGTACCCCCAGAAAACTGAACTCCATCCAAATTTTTCTCAGGAAGGAATCTTCGAAAGGATATAGAACGAAATACTATTACATCTTCCGCGAGGGCCCTTCTGGTATTGCTGTGCCACTCTGCGACCTGGGATGGGGCAAGGGAGACTTCCACTCTGTTAAGTCTATGGGTCCATACTACTACAAGGGCGACCCGATCAATCAGCCCTTGTTCCCGCCGGAGGTGAGTCTGCAGAACACTTGCATCATCTGCGTTTTTTATCGACTCACTTTGAGCAGGTGCTGACTTTACGCGGTATAGATGACTTTCCCCCTTGACCTCCCAGGCAAATATGTCGGCTGTCAATACACCTCAACAGGCGGCGATCCAGGCTGGCTTGACTGCGGCCCGGGTCGTGACATTCTACATTTCAAACAAGATCCTCAGTATTCTGATCCAACCCAAGAATGCAACTGGAAAGACAAATCATGGGATCATCGAGGTTTCTTCTGCGATACTTAGGCGCGTCTATCAATGAGACGTTGTGCTCGAGGATGGCTGAGGCTGGAACATGCGCACGGCGCAGAGCGGAGATACTCTACATTGTGCGAAGGAATGCATGAATATGCCGCTCAGTCTTTTCCACTTATTACTGTGCAATGTCTCAATACCTTCATACTACGTTTACCATTACTAGTGAAAGACCCTGTGCTTGTTTGCAACATTCCTTTGTCTCTCGCAAACGCTCGACCGCTGCTCTTCACAGCTCACCGCTTCTCTACCCCACTTTGAAGACTGATTACTTCAAGTCATCGACAAGCATTTAATCTACATTGAAGCTTCTCGTCCACCTCTCTTCCTCTCATCAGCGGAACACAAGACCAAGATCAACTTCCGATTCGCCATGCTCAACTGGCTTACTTCACTTGTCTGGCTACTTGCCTGCCTAAGCCTTGTCTTAGCAATACCTGTCGACACGCTTGCTGGTAATGTCACATCTATAGCAAGGCGCAATACTGCGAGTGTATGTTTATCAGCCCTTTTGATACAATCCTGTAGCACTCTTGCTAATGAAGCTTACTACGCACTTCAGTATCCGTACTCCCTCCAGCTCATCCTAAGTAAATTCCCTGTTCGCCGATACAACTGGTTAGTCTTCCAGGGACCCCAAGGAATCGCAGTGGATCCTTGCCTTGATCCTGAAGATGATCCGAACTTCGAGCGGGTCGACTTCGGAAGGGAATTCGCGGGCGAGGACGACGACATCGCCCATCCGCCGTTTCCCCCTTCCAGTGTAAGTAGACCATTCTTCAAACCATTTGCTGAGAATTGCATGCTAACTCGCACTCTCTTATAGGTTTACGTTCCCATCGAGTATTCCGAAGACTGCCATTACATTGGTAGCGGCGTCGATGCTGGTCAGTTTCGATGCGGGGATTACTACATCATCGATTGTGCAAAAGATCCGCGCTACAACGAAGCAACCTTCAGATGTCCGGATGGTCGGGAATATCACCGCGGATATAACTGCGAGTTCTGAGGAGGCAGGCTAGATGGACCCGGGCTGATGGCAAGCGTATGTAAGGGTTAACCGTATGGTTCAAGTAGGCTTATTTAAGTGGCCATCTCACCCAACATATGCATGTATGGTAAGGAATGCACTCGTCCTCAAGCAATATATTCGTCCTCAAGTGATGTGTTCGTCCTCAAGTAATGTATTTGTCCTCAAGGAATGTCCTCTTCCTCAAGAAGTGTAAGCGTGGAGACAGGCTCGTGACCGACTTCGGACGCGTTATTTGCCCTCTGACCATATCTTAGCGACTGCCGTTTGCTTCATCTGAGACTAACTGCAATTGGCTCTACACACGTGCTACTCTTGCGCGGTTGCCTACTTAATGCACTCACTTCTCACCACGAGCTTGTCGAGATACCTAGCTCCAACGCCAATTCAGAATATCGCGTCTCCGTTCATACACACTACATCAACTCGACACAGCCTGCCTACGAATCAATAGCAACTATGTCGTCCTTAATCACCTACCTCGTGTGGCTCTTCCTCGGCCTCGGCTTCGTTCTTGCCGCACCCGCTGAGCAGTTTGCAGACCACCCCACTGCCGTGAGTGCGCGATGATGTTGAACCTCAAGCATCGTACTGACCAAGTTCAAGGGCCAGGGTCCGTATCCCTACTCCCTCCAGATCCAAGTCGAGGAGGTAGACACCAAGTACTACGTGTGGGACATCTTCCAAGGACCTAGCGGCGTAGCCGTGAACCCTTGTGGAGACACTCGCTTCGAGAAGGTCTATCATGGCGAGCCCGGATGGCACACCAACAAGCCAGACATGGACAGCCCTCCTTACCCTCAGAACTATTTACCGTTCGTCCCCGAGGTGAGTTGGCTACTATCCTTAGACGCGCACCGTACATGCACTGACTCACCTCTAGTTCGAGGTCCCAATCGAGTACGGCAACCGCGGCGACTGTGCCTACCACGCCACTGGCAAGGATGCGGGCCAGTTCCGTTGCGGCGACTACTACATAATCGACTGCGCCAAGGACCCTCGATATGGACAACAAGTTTCCTGCGGTAACCCACGTCCACGCTACGCTGTGGCCTGGTACTGCGAGTTCTAGAGGTTGGATAAAGAATCTGACGAAGAGCGACCGTGATGGTGGACAAGGCGCAGCTTGAGACATGACTACACATCTCCTGCCTCCTATAGATATGGGAATACTGAGCCATTCTACGTAGAACCAATGAATGTATGAAGAACGCTCTCATTATCGCTCTCGGTCTCACTCTAATCACCCTGTACGTCAAAGCGCGAAGACGTGTCGCCTAACTTGGTCGTTTGCACGTCCCCTTCCGCCCGCCTTTTTGCCTGCCTTAATTTTGCCCACTAGAGCCGTCAGGTGCTCACTTCTTAGCCAAGAGATCATAGAATATATATGTAGCTCACAATGGCTCTCGCTCAGCCTCTATCCCTGACACAAAGCTCATCCTGAAGGCCTTGACAAAACGCACAATAACATCTCCCTCAACATGCTCGCGTGGCTCACCCTCCTCATGGGCCTTTCCATCAGTCTACTATTCGGCGCGACCACTGCAACATCTGCCCAGTTCTTGAGCCCCGAGGCGCAGGCTAATCGTACCGCACATGGTCTGGTACGTATGCATTATGTTCTGGGACGCGGTGCTCTACTGACCTTATGTTAGCAAGCTGATGTGTTCACCAATTCGGTTCAGATCATCCTTGAGCGTTACTCGATTGCGGACTTCTACTGGTCGTTGTATCTAGGTCCTTATGGTGTGAAGATGAATGCCTGCAAACCAGGAGACTTCAAGCTCGGCTCGCAGATAGGTGATTTCGACTACGATCGCAACGACATCAACAACCCCCCAAACCCACCCGCGGTAAGTGAATTCATCGATTGCAGCTTGGAAGTGCACATGAAACTGACCACAGCGTAGACGGAGCTACCTGTTCCCGAGTGGATGGGCCGCAAGGACTGCAACTGGAAGACCAACGGTCACGGTGATGTCGGTCAGTTCGTATGTGGCGACTGGATGATCTACGACTGTGAGCGAGATGCGAGTTGGAACGATGGAGCGATCTCATGTACCGGCCAAGGTTGGTCGTACCATCGGGGATACGCCTGCAATTTCTAGGCTGGGGTTCTTCGTGCGCTGCATGACTTGACAAAGGAGTCTTTTGTCGCTTGAGTAATGTGGTTGACGATCTTGGGATTGGGATGTTTCTGTCTGCAACAGGGCGGAACACTTGATTTTCTCTTAGAAGCCGGACAGCTGGTTGCCATCTTAGACACTTGGTGAATCGAATTGCGTATCGCTTCCAGATACACATGCTTATATTCTACTTGTTTCACGGTGCGCTAGTGGGCGAAAGAAAGCGCTTTCCTATTTGTTTGCTTGTATGGTCTCGGTGTGTGTTGTTCATCTCTCGAGGGTGTCACTGCCTACGTGTCAGCCAATCGGTTCACTTTCGCTTACAGTATATAAACCCGTCCTGCTGCTCGAGCCAGCCTTCCTCTCCCGAACGACTCTCAAAATCAAGAAGCAAGTAGCACGTTCACTACTGCGCCGTTAAACATGCGGACGCTCACCTCATTACTTGTCGGCCTAGCCGCTATTCCCATTTGCACAACTTTCGCTACACCCGTTAATTACGCCGGCGTACGGAGGTCAGAGAATGGTACCGGTTGGCGCCCCTCGGTCGGTTTTCTGAATACGAAGATAGACTTTACCGCTAAATCCGAGGTAGGACTACTACGGCTCCTCGGTTCAGATCCTTCTCCTCCGATCATCCGGTACAGAGTACTATTGGCAAATGTACCAAGGCCCAGCCCTAGTATCTGTGGATCCTTGCGGCTACCCAGACCCCTTTAAGGTCGCGGATTTCAAAGGCGTGTACCATTACGGACGAGACGCGATTGACAACCCTCCGCAAGCTCCTGCCGTAAGTCATAATATCTCTTGCGCAAGCTTATGTCAGATCATAGAGATACGCTGTAGCTGATAGCACATTCTTAGATGGATCTCAAGTTGTTGAAGTGGATGGACCATGATGATTGCGTGTGGAGAACGCAAGGTAACGGAGACGTTGGGCATGTAGTTTGTGGTGATTGGTTGGATATGCCCTGCGAGGTGGATGGTTCGTACAACCAAGGCGTGTTGAACTGCCATGGGAGGTCTTTCCATCGTATGTACGCTTGTAGGTACTGAGCACGGGTGAAAGAGGTGCTGGTTGCAAGCGGGTCAACTTCGGGGTCGCGTCAGTAGGGATCTTCCCCAGATTCCATGTCAAATCCTTCGACTTTCGTAGTCACAATTTCACATGTCGTTGCCCATGCTGTCAACCGATTGGTGGCGGACATAAGCTCTGGCTAGTATCTTGGTATTTCCGAATTTCTCCCCGGATCTCATGGATGTTTCCAAGGCTTGAACTGGCCAGACCCACTCATGGCCTTCTTTCCAGAGAGAACGGGAGTCGAATGTGGAGTGGTTCAGGTACTTGACAATATAAATAAGCTTTCGCATTCGTCTATGAGTCCCGACGCTGCGGGCGCCAAATCCAGCGCCGAGGCTCCGAACTTGCGTGTGAATGGCCGTACCTGTCCGATGGTAGAACTTGGCACTCACGACCAATCGGCATGCCTCTAGTCTGGCTCGTTGATGGGAGGCAGCCAATCGGCCAGTCGTTAGTGAACCATGCTCGTGTAGTCCTCGAAATGCTCATGTGACGACATGAAGGGGTTTTGGTGCCTAAGGGCAGAGGTTGTTGTTTAGTTTTCTGAACGAGAAGAGAAAGAGATATGCATATAAGGGGGGTGTTCTTGCGCACATAGAAGGCATCGCTACCATCACATTACCTTACGCATCGCATTCCATTCTACCCAACATGAGGACTTCTGCCATCAAGACGGCGCTTTTTGCGCTGGTCGGACTTGCTGCTGCCGCTCCTAGACCTGGCCTACTTGGTTCACTCATTGGAGCTGGAGGCAGCGCCCCCATTCCTCCCTCTGATGATCCATTCTACACGCCACCTGCTGGTTTCGAGTCGGCAAAACCTGGTGCCATCCTGAGAAGCCGACCAGTACCCAGTGCCCTTTCGCTATTCCAAACCATCCCTCTTAATTTGCAGGGTGCATGGCAACTGCTGTACAGGACCACCGACTCCCTCGGGAACCCAGTGGCTACAGTCACAACCGTGATGGTGCCAAAGAACGCGAATCCAAAGAAACTGCTCTCGTACCAGGTAGCCGAAGACAGCGGTGGTGAGATCAACTGCGCACCGTCTTACACTCTCCAAACCAAGTCCAATACCACATATGCCGGAACCGGAGGCATCGAAGCAGCCCTTATTGCTGCCTCGCTCAACCAAGGCTGGATCGTAAACTCGCCAGATTGGGAAGGACCCAAGTCAACCTTTGTCGCTGGATTCCAAGCAGGCTACGCTACTCTCGATGGTATTCGTGCGGCGCTCGCGTCCGGCGCTACCACCGGCGTTGATTCTTCTGCGAAGGTCCAGATGTGGGGATACAGTGGAGGCGCTCTGGCTTCCGAATGGGCTGCCGAGCTTCAAGCAAACTACGCTCCAGAGATCCCCTTTGTTGGCATGGCTATCGGCGGTGTAACTCCTAACGTCGAAAATGTTTTCAACACCATCAACAAGGGACTCTTCGCTGGTCTTAGTGCTGCCGGCTTCTTGGGCTTGGGCAACGCGTACCCTGATTTCGGAAAGTACGTCCAAGATAGCCTCAAGCCAGAGAAGGCTGATGCTTTCAACCAAGCTGGTCGCCAGTGCTTCTACGCCGACGTGAACACGTACGCGGGACAGGACATCTTCACGTACTTCAAGCAAGGACAGGCGGTCTTTGATGGTATGTACCCCCTGTGAGAAACCTTAGCTCTGACGATGACACTGACATACAAATCTTCACAGACCCTATCGCGGAAAACACCATCAGGACTGGTGCGACCATGGGTCTCCACGGCACCCCATCCATGCCCATTTTTGTGTACAAGGCCGTGAAGGATGAGATCTCGCCCATCGCCGACACTGATGCGCTCGTGGACCAGTTCTGCAAGGCGGATGTTTCCATCACATACGTCCGAGACTCTTTCGGCGAGCACTTCACCCAGGCGGCGACCAGCACCGGTGATGTTCTCAACTACCTCACTGACAGGTTCAACGGTGTTCCTATCTCGGGCTGCAGCATCCGCAACGAGTTCTTGGACCTTCTGGATGCTGGCTCGCCTGGAAAGCTGGGTATTTCGCTTGTCATGGTTCTTCTGAACGCCTTGGGTGTTCCGCTTGGCCCTAACCACTTCTAGTGGTTTCGTAAGGACTGAAAGGGGGTGGTAGTAGGTGTACATAGTTGTTGAACCTTCTTTAGTTAGCCGTAAACCTCGTTCGGAGGATTACCCGCTAGCTTCTCGCAGTTTAGTAGCTGTAGAGCTTTCACGAATGTTAAGAGAGTGGTTTGCCAGCAACACTAAGCTTCTTTTGATACCAGATAAGTTTACCGTTTGTGCCATGCTGACGTTCCATTGGTGATGATTAATATTGCGATGATGTTCGCCTTAGACCAGATCTATGCAACGTCTGGTGAATAAATGGAGCTAGCGGCGTCGTCGGCGAATGGCTGGGTATGTGCCATTTGGACCCAGCCCAAAGTCGGTTGTCGGTCTGTCAACACCAAGGCAGATTGTACCTGGACATGTTAACAGCCGGGGAATCGCGTAGTTCAGAGCACTAAGGAAGTATGTATATCAATAATTCAGATTTGGCAGAGTCGATGCCGACTTGCGCTCGGCATTTCATTCTCGGTCTACGTACAGAGACCATGGGCGTATTCCAACCCAGGCATCTGCCATCTTGTCGCTACGTAAACCTTCCAGTATTGCGAAACCAGTTTCCAACTCTTGCATTCTCTTGCGCGTATAGCGGTCCTGCAGATCCACCTAGATCTGGAGGCGCTCGACCTTGTCCTTGAGGGTGCGGATCTGGCCCATGAGGTCGGAAGCCTCGTTGGTGGTGATGCTAGCAGCGATGACGGGCCTGGCGACACCGCAAGCGCGGCCGAGAGCCATCTTGGAGGGGACGTAGACGTAGGGAACGTTCTTGTCTTCGCAGAGAAGCGGCAAGTGGAGGAGGATAGCGAGCGGGGAGGTGTCGGCCGCGAGGATGATCAACTCGCTGATACCACGGTTGAGGGTCTTGGTGGCCTCGTTGGCGCCCTTCTTAAGTTGGCCTGTGCGAAGTCAGTATTTGTCTCGTGTGCAGTTCGCACAGCGATATAATATAGCTTACGGTAGTGGGTAGCCTGTTGGACGAGGTCGAGGATCTCCTGGGAGAGAGCCTGGTCGGCTTGGGGCCAGGCGGCGCTGTTGTCTTCGGCCATTTTGGTGGAGGTGGAGGTTGAGGTGTGGTGGGTGGTAGGGTTCACTGCTAAAGCTCGTCCGAAGGAGGATTCCTATAAGGTGTTAGCTATGCGACGAAGGTATAGATGTGCGACAGAAGCTTGTTTGAACGACAACGATATCGGTGGGCGATGAGTGTCGAATTTGAGAGGGAGAGAGAGAAATAGCTATGCGACTTACACTGCTTGCTCGCCCGGGGTGAATTTGTGGTGGAGGTTGTAATAGATTGGATCGAGAAAATCAAAAAGTTCGTAGCTGGGATTATTACTTGGCATACCTCACGTGTGGCGCTAGTGACGAACTAGGTATAGGGCAAAACCGAGCGACGTCCAGCTCTTCGCCAACCATCGTCACCACTCCTCGACATCACAACCGCCCCCGTCGCCGCATCTACGACTCCCGTCCATCTCAATAAAGATCTCGACACCCTTCTAGACGTCTCGTCGAATACATACATCACCGCAAAGATGGTCTCCGAACTTTGGTGAGTGAACACGGAGCTCCCCTGTTGGGCATGCAGATAGCTCCAGCTTGCCTCTCTGGAGATAAGCTGGGCATGCGACTGTTGCATGAGCATCGGAGGAGCTTCTCCGTTATCACCTCATACGTACAATAGCTAACATGATGCAGCCCCGTCTATGCCGTAAGTCCTCGGACCAACCTCCGCTTCGCCTCCCGACGCGACAGCACCGCGTCGACCCGTCCATCGTCATAGCTAATAAACA